AAAAAAATCATGCAGGTGAGTTTTGAAGCAGTTGTGATTGTATTTGGCATGAGTTTATAGTTCTCATTACATAAACCTAGCCTGTTCTTCAAATCTGAACTGTATACTTGAGTCCAGTAAGGCAACAGGTAATTGAACATCTAATCTACATATTTATAATGTATACACATTTAGTGGATTTGGATAGAATGAATTTTAGATTGAAAAATTTACTAGTTTTTTTTCCCCCCCCTGGATGTATACAAACAATAAATTTTAACTCACAACAGAGGCAAAGTAGATATCTGGGTGGAACTTCATTTGGTGGGACTCCTCAGAAGTGGTAATTGCTAATAAGAACACTTTTTTTTTTTCCTTTAAAAGACCATTTCATATTGGAGAGTCAACTACAGTTAGATCACTTTCTTCCTCACTTTTATGTTTCTAAAGATTTCTTCAACAATGAAATTTCCATGCTTCTTGGTAAAGCTGTTTTTATTAGTTATGAGATTGTTATCAGCTAAAATGCCAACTTAATCATCGAAAAGACACTTAGCATTTTATTCATGGTTTTAATACACACCTATTCTCTGTGGCTGATTTCTATCACATAAAAATTTACTTTATTAAACCCAGATGTCTTTTATTCATCCCATACAAGGCAATGTTAAAAGTGACATATTGTTACTCTGTGTTTGTTAGTGAAAATTAAGATATTTTGCATCTCCATAAGAGTGTGGGAGCATTGGCTCATAAAGAGCTAAGATACAGAAAAGTGGGCAGAGACTAATCGTGGCCAGCAAATCATTTTTTAATGCCTGGAAAAAGGGTGCTTTTCTATAAGCCCTAAAATGTAATTTTTTTTTTCTATTCTAGGCTTTATCTTTCAAGAAGTGAATTGGATAATCCCCATAAGCCAAAAGCATGGAAAATTTATCGTCCAGAGTTTGCAGTTGAAACTTATTTTGATGATTTAAGTGTATCTCTCCTTCTAGGATAGAATTATATTCTTCCCAGTCCCTGCTATGTATTTATATCTTCAAAACCCTCTTCCTTGCTAGTAAACTTATATTTACATATGTGTACATATGTTCTTGAGAATACTATTAAACTTATTAAATATATACAAGAGAAAATGTCAATGGTGATTTTTTTTTTTCCTTTTTGAAGGAATATACTTCAAAGTTTTGAGATAAATTTGGAACAAATACACAGGAACGTTAGTTATCGCTTTTAAAAACTTTAAATAAAACTTTCATATAAAAATAACTGAAATATTTAAAAATTGTGATTCCCCCTAATACTGTTGAGTTTATTTCATTTACTTATATATTTTTGGACAAGTATTTTTTCCCTTTGTTTCACATTTATAATTTCTGATTAGAAAGTAATTTCTATTTTCTTCCTCCACTTGATTTACAAACTAACAAATATCAGATTGACAGCAGAGACTCTTAAACCCAGAGACATGTTTACACAGCAGCCCCTCACCCCAAATACATGCTTTTTCTCTTGCTCTCCAAGCACCGCACAGAGCACGAGCTTCCTGTAGTCACACAGACACGAGAGGCTGGAGAATCTTGGTCAACATGACAGTTACAGAATCTTGGGGGACTCTGTGAAGGAAGGTCACCTTTTTATTCTAGACCTGTGTCCAGAGGGAATCATTTTCTCTTTGGTACCCAGTGCTATTCTAAGTACTTTCACTGCCACTGTACCTTAAGGCCACGATTGTACTTGAAAGCAGTTCTATTTTGGCTCTATTGAAATTATCCTTACTTCAGTGATTTTTCCTTTAGTTGGCAAGGCTATCAACAATCTAGACCCGTGGTTGGCAAACTGCGACTCTCGAGCCACAGGCAGCTCTTTGGCCCCTTGAGTGTGGCTCTTCCTCAAAATACCATGGCTGGGCGAGTCTATTTTGAAGAAGTGGCGTTAGAAGTTTAAGTTTAAAAAATTTGGCTCTCAAAAGAAATTTCAATCGTTGTACTGTTGATAATGAGTCTGCTGACCACTGATCCAGACCAAGTTAAATTTATCGGGAAACAAAGCTGGCAACTAATAATAGTGCTCTGCTAAAACACACTATTCTCATCCCTGAAAAACCTTGCACTCTGCAAAAAACAGACTAAAATGGTTTGCTCAGGGGAAACCGGGTTGGGAGTTAAGGGGGTTTGGAGGTTTGGGGCAAACCATTCCAACTAACAAATGTAACCAGCACATTAACCACTAACCACCCAGGTGGCAGCTCAGAATGCCTGGAGGTTGCCACAGTCTTTTTAAAAGGGAAACTGGGCAATATCTTAACTACAGAAGGGCTAGAGGTGCCGAAGTATAATAGCACGGCACAGGTGCTCTTTTTTTTCTCAAAATAGCCCACAAAGGGCCAGTGCTGCCAGTGCAGCAGGCCAACTGAAGGCTGTTTGCTTTTGACAAAAGGTATCATCCTACTCTCCCCAACCTGGCTCCCGGAAGGAAGAGATCTTGGAGAACCCTCTCAAGTTCCTTCCAAGTTATGACGCATTATTCCCAGTTACTTGGTGTTACAGAACCGTGTTGTGGCAGAACAGGCTGTGGTTTCCACAGGGCCCATCAGGGGGAAGGCTTAATTGAATGGGGGAAGTGCTTAGCTGGCCCATGGAGGAGTAAGATCTATCTTTTTCAATTCTGGCAGACCCCAATTTTTAAGAATCTTGCCCTTTGAAATAAGGAGATACAGTTGGGGTTTTTCTCCTCTAACCCACATAGATTCATCAGAATTTCTAGCAATGAGTTGCCACATGTCTGCTTCCTCTCTTAAGAGAACTTGCTTAGAGTCTCATGGGGACTGCTGTCTTAGAACTCAGTGTGAATAATACTTTGAACACAAGAAACTAACTTAGAATGTATCAGAATGATACTGGTTTTCTTTTTTTGTTGTTGTTGTTTCTAATATACGTTTTTATTTCAGAGATAAAGGGAAAGGGAGAGAGAGATAGAAACATCAGTGGTGAGAGAGAATCATTGATCAGCTGCCTCCTGCACACCCTCCCCTGGGGATTGAGTTCACAACCTGGGCACGTGCCCTTGACTGGAATCAAACCTGGGACCCTTCAGCCTGCAGGCCGTTGCTCTATCCACTGAGCCAAAACGGCCAGGGCTTTTCTGTTTTTGATACTGGTTTTCTTAAATGTAATTTAATAATCCGGAACAGTATCCATAACTTAATAGCAAGAAGTTCAACTATTTAAAGAAAAAGAATGGTAACCTGCCAAATAAGACATATCACATCCACAGCCTGATGGAGATAATAACTCTAGTGAACTGAGCTTCCTAATTGCAGTGTATATAAAGAACTCATATACTCAAATATTAGGCAAATAATTTAATGATATAGAACACGAGAATTTCTCTAAACACAGTGACCATATTTTTATCTGGAGTACGGATCTGAAACGGTACAAATTATACACGATGAATTTAATAGAATCAATTCCTCTGACTTCCCATTCCTTGCTCACACTCACTCTTACTTGCCTCAGACTGTTTCTATTGAAGATATTTAGTTAAACCTTTTAAAGAGGACATGTGAGGTCTACCCCAACAGTGTTGACATGCCGACGGGCACCACACAGGGGGCCAGGGACCCTGAGCAGTCTGCTCCCTGCTGGAAGCTGGGACTACATTTCTAGCCTGTTCAGATGAGTACCGTTCAGATGGCCAAAGAACGGCTGCCATCTCCAAGTCTGAGGGAATCAGATGAATGAGTTTTGTTGCTATTGCTGCATACATATGGCATAGCTGATAAAAATTACTCTGTTTCATTGCTTTATAAAGTCACACCTCACATACAGTCATCATTAAAATTCAATGACTGCCAGTACCAGATATAAGGGGCTCCAACACTGCCAGAGCACGATGGAGAGATGGACTCCAAGAAAAACCTGAGAATGGATCAGCCCTGCCGTTACTCACTGTAGAGTGTCTAGCTCTGTGGAGAGGACTCCATCCCGGAGTGCTGTCCATCACAGGCAGGGAACAAGGACTTCTCTTGGCTTTGGCACTCTGCTCTCAGGATGGGTTTCCAACTGGTGGAGGCAATGACTGAGTGGTCCAAAGAATACTCTGGAACCCTCTCCAGGCCAGGACCCATAGACCAAGGCTAAGGGCTGTGTGGGCCACAAGGTCTTCACAGACAGCAGCACCACCCCGTCTCCGCAGGCCCTTCTGCAGCATAAAGCCCAGCAGAGGAAAGCTCTTTGTGAGAGGAGGATGGAAGTTGGCACAGTGAAGGCCAAGCAGCTTTTCAAAGGCTTGATACTCTAGGCCACACCCAACAATATTTCAGAGAGTATACAATCCCATCAAAAAAATAAATGGTACTATTTTATCAATAGAACATCTTGGAAAAAATCCAGGATGCCTACTCTGAAAGTTAAATCAGAAACATGGAAGCCACATCAGTATACAATTATATTCTCTTTAAGATCTATGGATATATTGGTTTTCAAGCACCACAGGAATCCTTCTTAAAAACTTGAGCCACTTGGTATAGTGAATGTGTTAAGCAGATTTTAAGCGACCATATATCTAGAATGGGTTAAGTAATCATAACCATCTTCATGAAACATGGTTACCTCTGGGTTTTTCTGGCATGATCTGATTAAACACAGAACAAAATTATGCTTCATTCACAACACACAACCATCCAAACTGCATGGATAATACAAGTTTATGCAAAATCCCTGATTATATTTAGATTGTCAGATTAGGTACCCAGGGCCAGAGGCTCACCCTGTATGTCCAACCAAGGACAACAGCAGCAGCTTTTCTATTTCAGTACAATTATAGACAGAAATCAGATTATGTAAAATTGAGGTCCTTCCATGAAGTTTAAGATTTAGGGTAGAAGAATGGAAGACAACAAAATACTCTGAAATTAAAAATAATTCCACACTGGTCTTGTATAATACTTCATGAAACCCTGAGATGAATTATAGTCCTCAAACACTTGTACTTGGATCCAGGTTCACTAGAATAGTTCAGTCTGCTTCAAGCTGGCTCATCATGAACTTCCTGCTGTATTCATAGGCCAAAAATAGTGCCCCATTGGCAGGGAACGCTCGAATCATAGTAGGTTTCAGTCCAGAATATAAAGCTGTTATTCCTAGAAGACAAAAGGGTGATCCAAGACTGAATTCCTTCCTTAGAGATATTCCATGAAGCTGCCTAGCATATATATTTTTACACTTACAAATCTTAATACAATGGCATTTAAAAACCAACACATGAAGAATTTATTTCCAGATTTCTCCTGGCTAATGGAACTAAACAGACTATAGGAAACCAGACAATGTCAGGACTCTGAGCAAAGCTGGTTGATGCTCAGGTAACATACACCAATCCCATGCCTGGTTAACTCCTGGTAGGTGGATCTGACAGACCTGAGGCCTCACTCAGGCAGACAGAAGGCGAACACAGAGCCACAGACCGCAGTAGTCTATAGCTTCGCCTGGGGGACAAAGACGAGGCATAGGGCAAGTGAAAGAGTATTTCTAGTTTTACATTGCCTTATGAAGATCCAATTACATAGGGAGGTATAAGTACTTTGTAAAACTATAAAGTGTTATGTAAATTTAAAGAGGGGTTACCTATTAGTAATATACAAGATGTCTGTATTCTAAAACAATTCCTACATACTGTTATTGTGCTCTCCCTTTTAAAATCATGAAAGAGGAGTTCACATATCCAGCTTTAAGATGTATAGAGGATGCTGAAAGGAAGATCTTCACTCACTATAGTAGCATAAAACTGGCTTTATACAAACATTAAGCAGAAAATCTACATCCTCCTACATAACTAAAAATTGATTTAAAAAAAAAAATCACCTTCAGAAGTTGCTTAGTGCATTTCTACTTCCAAGAGACTAAAGATTAAGCATGGTGCACATTCTTTTATATCCCTCAGTGGTTCTCTTAGGGTCATCTGAAAATATCTATATGACATAAAACAAGTGGTGCTAACTTCAAAACATCTGTCCCCTTAAACCAAGTCCACACTTCAATAATTCCCTCTAGGCTATTTAGAACAGAGCATCCTAACAGGTACCTAGCTCAAGGGTTAGGAATAAGAACTTTAAACATTCTTGAGAATAATGAAAGCAAGCTAAAGAAAGGGAATTGGAAACAAATCCACAAACATGGGTTAACATACAGTGCTAGACAAGGAATATGAGACGGGGCAGAGACCAATTATACACATGATACATTGCAACAAGACCAGCAGTGAAATATGACATACATACGTGCACTGATTGTGCAATAGCAGACCCACCTTCATTTTTCACAACACTTATACAGGTTCCAACAAATCCTGCCTGTTTTCCAGACATGGAAAGAACTTGAATTCTAGACTTGATACAATCCACTGGGTAAACAGCAAGCCAGAGGCAAATTCCACCAACTCCACCACTTAACATCAAAGGGACGGGGCCTAGAGAAGAAAATAAGCAAACAGTATTTAATCTCAAAAACAGCTGATGTGACATTTCGAGAGGTCAAGGCAGTGGCTGCAGGGAGGTGAGAATAAAAATGCTAATGCCGTGGAACACAACTTGAGGCGACTGTCAAACTCTAAGAGCACAGGTTCTGTGTGGCAGAGCACCCACACGGTGACTTAGTGAGGGTCGCATTAGGCTGGTCACGGTGGCTCTGCGGCCCTCCAGAGGGCTGGTCCACACAGAACCAGCAGGTTCCCAGCAGCACAGCAATGCCCTACTCGGAGGAATGAGACGAGAGAGCACTGAAACGAAGGCCTCTTTTCAGCTGTCTCATTCTGAAGTACTGTAAGGATTTACAGCCTGACAGTTCTGATTCTTCCTTTACTTTGGAAAATAAAAGTTGTCCTATGAAACAGAAAAGGTAAGCCTGGGAGCTTGACTAACCCTAGAATAGGTCCAAAACACTGAAGGGAGGTCTTAAGGAAAAAGTAATCACACTCATGTGGACCAAACACTGATATACTGTGTTACGCAGCTGAATAGAATAAGCTAGAAAGAACTATAATTTCACTGCTCTCAAACACTATCAACATTTATTACCAAATTTTAAGCATTCTGCAAGATAATTTACAGGTGATTTTCCTATTTATTGATGATTTCCCATAGAGAAAGGAATTTCTGTATTTCCTCACGTCTAAGATGGAGCCAGAACAAATTAATAAATGTTATAACAACAGAGAAGTTTGGGATGCACTGCTTCAGCCAGTCCTGGGGAAATTACCAAGCTGAGAGGAAGGTGCCAACGGTCGCCAGCGCCACCCAGAGGAAGATGCCTGCAATTGCCAGGGCCACGCTGCTTCCCAGGATCCGGAAATCCCAGTGCAGGTGGCCCCCACAAAGGGTGCAGAGCGCATGAAATCTGCAGCAACCACACCACTGGAAAGCCGACACTGTCAAGCCCAACGTGAATACATTTACCTAGTTCATCTTTTGATCTCCCTGAAGCAAAAAACGATCGACTCTGTTCATAGCCGCCGAAAAAGAAGAAATAGCCTGGTACTTCTCGAAGTAAAGTGCTTGAGAGTCCATGATAGAAGCCCAGCGGGCCATCCTTTCTAAGGATACTCTTCACTACAGACCAAACTGTACTGGAAGGAGACAGAGGAAGAATGTTAAACACAACACCGGCGTTAGCACCCAATCAACAGACCTGATTAAGCTCTAGGAAGAAAACAGCTGATTTTATAAACAGAGGACCCACAATTCTGAGACTAAAAGACTTCTGTGGGAAGGAAACATCTAGTGAAGCACAGATACAATTATGTGATGACAAGTGTTATCACCTAAACTATTCTATGATAAAGAAATACATTTCTAGAAGTCATATTATCAACAATGTAAAAAAACTAATACCCATTTTTTCAACAGTAAATAAGTGAAGTTACAATAGGAGCACCCAAACTCAGCAAGAACAAATGGTACTCTACCTGCCCAATCCCTTACCTCCCTCAATTCCTATTTTCTTACTCTTCTTTGGATCTGGTGTTTTGAGGAAATTTGTTCAGGTGTTTTAGGGGCTGTTTTGTTTTGTATTAATACAGAGAAATGAGCAAGGGAGTAAATGCTACTTAAGATAAGACCAAAGCTATTCTACAGTTCCTGTCAGGCACACACCAAGAATTTCGTTCTTAGAAAGGAAGGTATGCAAGAACTTTTATTTCAAGCAGATCAGAGTACTGCAGCAGCCAGAACACAGGGCACTTTCCACCTGGGCTCCTCTTCCTCATGGTGTGTGCCACAGCAGACTGTGTCCCGCCCAACAGCAAGAAACCAAAACCACGCACTCCTCTGGCTTCTCACTTTGTTCTCAGCATTGGACCAATGCAGGATTAAGCCTGAGGTAGTAAAGGCCACTGCTTTTAGTGGTTAAATATCTCTGAGGACTTCAGAAGGCTTCTAGGCATTACCATTAGCTAGGTCCTTCCAGCAACACAGCTCTCATTCTGTAATGCATGTACAAAGTTATCCAATTTAGCACCATCAGCCTGCCTCCCAATCCAAGTCAACTTAACTATTGCATACCACTGTGTGGACACTGCTATGCCTCACTATAGTCACCCACTATTTTCTTTTGTGCAAGGTGTCTGTTTTCCAAAGTCCTTTGGATCGAACAATTACTTTTTTTTTAATACTTGTCCAAGAATATTTTTTCCATTGCTTTTCAGAGGAAAAGAGAGGAAGGGAGAGGCAGGAAGGAAGAGAGAGAGAAACATAGATGTGAGAGGCACACACTGATTGGTTGTCTTCCACATGTACCCCAATGGGGCTGGGATTGAACCTGCAATCTATGTATCCTTAACCAGGAATCAAATCCTCCACCTTTCAGTGCATGGGCTGATGTTCTAACCATTGAGCAACTGGCCAGGGTTTTTTTTTTTAAGCCTCTCCAGAAGACATGCTCAGAAAGAGGGGGGTGGGGAAGAGGAAGAGTGTGTAGGAGAGAAAGAGAGAAACATCCACGTGAGAAGCATTTATCAGGTGTCTTCTGTACATGCCCCAACTGGGATGGAACTTGCAACGTTTCAGTGCACAGGACAATGCTTAACCAACTGAGCTACTCGGGCCAATGTTTTTTGTTTTGTTTTTTAAATGGATCCACTTTAATTTTTTTAAATCCTTACCCAAAGACATGAGTATTTTTGTTTTTGTTTGTTTTATTGATTTATAGAGAGGAAGGAAAGGAAAAGAGAGAAACATCCATCAGTTGCCTCCTGACTGGGGAATTGAACCACAACCTAGGAATAACAATTACTTTCTGTAAAAATACTTAAAACTATGCTGGAGGCTAATTCCAGCATGTCATAATAAATGCAAGAAGTCCTCAAAAGGTGGATGGGCTTCTATATTCAGCAGGGCTGAATACATGTTATTGCCTACTGGATCAGCCGAGGGCATTTCCCCAAACCTGAAGATCTGCATCTATCATTGCCTGTCACCATGCAGCTGAGGGCATTTCAATTTACATGTAATTGCCTCCTGCTGGCCAAATACCTGAACAGCCAAGGCAGTTCCCCCCAAACTGACAATGCCTACTGTATATTCAACCTTACCTTTGATATGTATATCTACTTTGCTATAGGGGAAAATGTGGGAATACAAAGTACCCTGGGTCCTGAGATACACAGAATTTAGCTATTACAGCTAAACTTCCTTTGGCTCCCCCATGGATTACAAATTTATATTTCTAGTCTCTTTATTAATGTACACGCAGCGCCTTCTCCAGATTCCTGAACCCTTCTAGATGCTGGCTATCCCCCCAGCATTAAAAATACTTTCAAAGGACATGAGGACAACTTTATGGGTGCTGTTCATGTTCTGGTTTTTAATCTGGACACTGGTTACAAAGGCATGATCATTGTGTGACTACATACAAAACCACACACTTATGATTTCTGAGTGAACATATTTCAGTAAAAAGTTTTAAAGCCCTAGCTGGTTTGGCTCAGTGGATAGAGCATCAGCCTGCAGACTGAAGGGTTCCAGGTTTGATTCCAATCAAGAGCACATGCTTGGGTTGTGGGCTCAATCCCTAGTGGGGGGCAAGCAGGAGGCAGATGGTCAATGACCCTCTCATCATTGATGTTTCTATCTTTCTTTCCCTCTTTCTTTCTCTCTGAAATCAATAAAAATGTATTTAAAAAAACGTTTTAAAGGCTTACACTTTGGAACCTCTGGCTATGACTAATAGATTCAAATTGGTTGTAATGAATCTCAAGGCTGCAGGAAACGGGGCTCTGTGACGTACCCCATCCTCACTGGGAGGAGGCTGTAAATGGTTACCTACTGGCTTTCCCAGCGGACTTACAGGTTTTGAGTTAACCACAGCCATGCCCACCACCAGAACTTCTGTCAGCCAGATGTTACAATGAAAAATCAAATTTTGAGATTAACAAGGATAATCAATTACTTTTTGATTCAAATAAATCATATTGCATATGATTACTCACAGGATAACTAGACTCTGTTTTCAAGACTGAGTTGAAGAGTGGTCATTTGATCACTGAAGAAAGCTTTGACAGGGGCTTCCCTGGGTTTTCAGACTTTGGGCCCTTTGTATTAGGTAAACATACAGGATTAGGAAGCGGGGGTTAGGGAAGTGAACACTGGGATCTGGATGATCAGCCTGAATGCCCATGTGAGTGCTGGGAACGGGCCTCAAATCTTCATCTCCAATTCCAAATGAGCACTCGTGAAGGCTCAGCTCTCAGTACCAAAGCTCCGGCTCTGTGCCTCCCCTCCTGGTTGGAGACCATGCCTTACACACACAACAGGCCAGAGGGGATAACTCCTGGCTTCTTCACTTCTGAAGTATTAAATACCAGTCAGATGGGGTGATGGGTCCAACCATCACCTCTTCCATTCAGAAAATCAGAAACACTGTACTTTGGAGTAGATAAATCTGTCTATTACTTGATTTTAGTACAATATAAAATTACAAAGTACTCAATACAGTAAGGCAACAGAGACCTACTGTTTGTGCCCAGGGGTGCTTACTTCTGGCTTTTGGCTATCTTTCCCGATGTCTCCATTTCGTACATGGTCTGTAGCCGGCACTTCACGAGCTCAGTGGGGCAGAGCACCAGCGCAGCAAACGCAGAGGCAAAGGAACCGGCGGCTGCATTCTGCAGATCACTGAAAGGACACAAGCACAGGCGGCCAATTACCGTTCGTTCTTCATTCCCTCGCACCCGCCATGCTGAAGCTCTCCGTGGTAGAGAGCAAGCATAAGAGAAAGCAGTTCCTGAGTGCCCACCGGGAACCTGCACAGGCTGCTCTAGCTAAGGATTCCACAACCCTGTGAGGTTGACAGCAACACACCAGTCTCCATATGAGGGAGATAATGTGCCGCTCCCAAGTGGCAGTGCTAGGATTCAAACCCAGGTCAGCCTGACGGAAAAATCCATACTCTTTTTATTGGTCACAAGCTATGGACTGAATGTTTGTCTCCCATCCCCAAACTCTATGTGGAAGCCTTAACCTCAATGTGATGGAATCTGAAGAAGTTCCTTTAGGAGGCAGATTAGGTTTAGATGAAATCATGAGGGTGGAGACCTTCTGGTGAGGTTAGTACCCTTATCAGAAGAGACCAGAGAGCTAGTCTGCGTGTGCTCTCTCTTCCATGCAGAACACAAGCAGGCATCCCTCTGCAAGCCGGGAAAAGGGCCCTCACTAGACACCGAATCAGCCAGCACCTTGACCTTGGACTTCCCAGTCTGAAGAACTATGAGAAACAAATGTTTGTTGTTTAAGCCTGCAAGTCAATGGTATTTAGTTATAGCAGCCAGAACTAAGCCACACCATGACATAAAAAACAAAACATGGAGAGTAGGAAAAAAAATTACCCATAGTCCTACCACCCTAACACATGCACTGTTAATATTCAATGTATTTTGCTCACTAACTTTTAAATAAAACTAGGTTCTGAGGTCATCCCTACACACCCATCCCTTTTTTCCAACCTGGAACAGAAACACATAACTGTCACAGATGAAAACCCGAAATAAATTTTTAACCCCAAAGTTATTCATCCTAAAAAGATTTCCCAGAAATCTCAGCAACAAAGAGGGCATGTAGGGGAGGGCAAAGCCAGTGTGAGTCAGCAAGTTCAATGGTTGTAGGTAAAATGGCTAAGTTGGAAATAGAAATGGAGGAATGAATGCAAATAAATACAAAAACAGAAGTTTTCACCTCATCTCATATCCGTCCAGTGCCACCAGCCAGTCACCAGCAGCTTTATGAAACAAATCCAATAGAGTTCAAGTCTACAGTGGAAAGTCTAAAAAACAGTCAGGAAGGCTTCTCTGAGAGTTCACGGGGGTCAGGAAAGACGACCCTTCCATCCGTGGAGCAGTTTTTCATCAAGGGCACACAGGGTGGAACAACCTCCCCTGGGCAGGAAGGACGAGCTGCTCACAGCGGGCCAGCTGGCTCCCTGACACTCCCGTTCAATGCCAGCATCCTGCTGCCACTGAGCAACCAGCAACGCTCACAGGTTTCCAAAAGCCCCCAGGGAGTAATCCCCTCAGCTTACTGCCCCAGGTACAGGGAGTCCCTTACAATTTTTCTCCAAAGTGAGCAGAAGCTTAACAAACCTGCCACATTCAGTTATCCTAAAGTTACAGTAAACTAATCCTATCTAATAAAAGAGTAATATGCAAATTGACTATCACTCCAACAAACAATATGGCTGCCCCCATATGGTCAAAGATGGCTGTCACAAGATGGCCAGCAGGGGAGGGCAGTTGGAAGGGACCAGGCCTGCAAGGGAGGGCAGTTGGGAGTAATTGGGCCTGCAGAGAAGGGCAGTTGGGGGGACCCAGGCCTTCAGGGGAGAGCAGTTGGGAGGAACCAGGCCTACAGGGGAGGGCAGTGGTGGGGAGGGGAGGACCCAAGCCTGCAGGGGAGGGAAGTTGGGAGGGACCAGGCCTGCAGGGGAGAGCAGTTGGGAGGAACCAGGCCTGCAGGGGAGGGCAGTTGGGGGGGACCAGGCCGGTAGGGGAGAGTAGTTAGGGACAACCAGGCTGGAAAGGGAGGGCAGTTAGAGGTGATCGGGCCAGCAGGGGAGGGCAGTTGGGGGCAACCAGGCCGGCAGTGGAGGGCATTTAGGGGCAATTGGGCAGGCAGGGGAGTAGTTAGGTGTCAATCAGGATGACGGGGGAGTGGTTAAGGGGTGATCAGGCTGGCAGGCTGAAGCGGTTAGGGGCAATCAGGAAGGCAGGCAGGTGAGTGGTTGGGAGCCAGCAGTCCTGGATTGTGAGCGAGATGTCCAACTGTCCGTTTAGTGGGATCGGGCCTAAAAGAGCAGTCAGACATTTCTCAAGGGGTCCCAGATTGGAAAGGGTGCAGGCTAGGCTCAGGGACACCGCACCCCTCTCCCCCATGCACAAATTTCATGCACTGGACCTCTAGTAATTAAATAAACTGATGTCCAACAGCAGTGTCAAATCAAGGGCTACTTCCAATCCCCGCCCTGGTACCTATCTTCTGGGAGCCTGGCCTCAATGCCTCAGAAGAATGTACTGGTGTTAGGTCTCAAAGGCTGGCACAGAGCGGCTTTCTCTCCAGAGGAAGACACTGCTACAGTATGGACTCGCTTTTGATGTTAGAGAACTGAACATCAGACCATTCTAGAGCACAGCCAGATACACAACTATGCTGGCACTCAGCTCTCCAAAGTGGAAACTGCCTGCCACTCAACTCCACTCTCTCCCACCCCATTCCTACTGTGCTCAGTTCTCAACACCAAAACTTAAAATGGTTTCTGCCGTCTTTCAGCCAGCCTGCAGATCCATACTTGGCCTCCCTGGGGACGCTCTGCAACCTGCTGACAGGCAACAGTCAATCAGGGTCATTGACCAGTTTACCAAGTTTTCAGGAACAAAGGTGGCATCAGTAAATGGAGCCGCCCATTCAATCTAAGATGTAGTAATGGTTAGGACACCTGAACAAACACCTAGCATGTCGTTACAAGGCAACAAGGCCAGATCAGATCTGCCTGGACTTTGGCTTTCTAATAAATACTTTCATCTACCAAGGCACCAGGTTGGGCCTAAATTATTCTAAGCGTTGAGAGCTGGCACTGAAATGGCGACAGGCATAGGATAGGATTTTGCAAGAACTGACTGTTTATGACCTATTTAACAAAAATGTACCTGAACAATTCTGCCATTAAGATCTTGTACAGCTAAAGGTCAAAAGAGGACACCACTCAGGGCAGTGTTCAAACCAAGAACAGACAAATATTTACAATATTACTGCAGCAGTTCACAGCAGGTTCTCTTGAGCAGTTTCTTCTTCTTTTCAATGTTCTGCTTACTCATCTTTTATCAGGATCCGGCCCCTACAAAATACTCTGACTGTGGTCTTATGGAGAATGCTGGATGGGGCTGGAGCCCTGGCTTTCTCAGCCATTACTGCATGACTTTTGAACATGCCAGTATTTGCACTCCTTTTCCTCTTTGAAACATAACACCCACTTTGCTCATCCCACAGGACCATAAGGGCTAAAAAACACACCATACACGTCAGAGCTCTGTAAACTCCGAGGCAGTATTTCCCCCAACAGGTGGCAAGCAAACTGTGATCTGCAAGATGAAAAAGAAATAATAGCGTGCTGGTCAAGGGAAGCAGGGAGGGGTCTTTCTTACAGGGCTCCCCTAGAATCCCATGTGGTTGGTGTTTCCTGTCTTCTCTAAGGATGTTGGAGGCCCACACTCCAGACTCCTCAGTCCAGAGTCTCTTCCTCTAATGGGGTGAGCAGCAGTCACAACAGGTTCTTCCTGTCAGTCTCTACTCTGAGAAACCTCACTCTCCTGGTTTGTCTCCTGCTTATTTCTTCACTTCCTCTCCTTTTCCTGGCCCTCTCTACTGGAGGGTCCTCGGTTCAGTGCTCAGCCCTTTATAGATGCTATCTCCATGAGTGAGCTCATCCAGCCCCACGCTTTTAAAAAACAGAATTCCTTCATATAAAAGGGAGCATGCTCAGACCTCTAGGCACCTCCAAGAGAACATTTCTGTACAAAAGGAACCTAACTTTAGTCACATAGGACCTTAATTGCAATGAGATTTCAAATTCCTACCAAAACAACCAATAAGCCTGCCCTTTGCAACCATGAGGCTGATAGAATAGTTTTAAGTTATTTCAAACATGGCAATGATCAAAGGAGGCAGAGATAAACATCCCAGGGGCTTTTAAATTCTTTTTAGTCTGTGTATAATAAATGCCCAAGAATGACAGAACACAAGCCAAAGTTTGCTGTTTGTGGCAGACCTGGCCAAAGAAGATTCACTAGTAATTCCTCAGATGCTTATGACCCTTCCTAAAATTCCAAGTCTATCCTCAAAGCTATTTGGTTCAAGCAATCTCTTCCAAGATTCTTCATTTTGCTGATGAAGTAGAATCTAAAGTTTGGGTCACAAGCTGCACCTATGGCTTTAGTCTAGCACCTCTGTCCATAAGAGAAGTAGCCCTACCATCAGCATCTTAAAAGCATTCCCCTGAAGAATACCAATGCCTCAGGGTGAGTCGGCAACTCTCCCATTGTGTAATGCAAATGTACATTCCAATACAATCACTATTTATATATAAAAGCCCAAGCGACCTTTTAACCAGTAGCTATGACACCCACTGACCATCAGGGGGCAGACACTCAACACACAGGCATGGAAACGTGGAACAGACTGATGAATCTCAGAGGGGAGAAGGGTAAGAGGCGGGAGGAGGGGGAGAGTGCAGGTGAGAAGAAAATAACCAAAGATCTTATATGCATACTAGAGGCCCAATGCATGAATCTGTTCACCAGTAGGGTCCCTCAGCCTGGCCTGCAGGGTCCAGGCCGAAACAGGCAGTCCGACATCCCCTTAGGAGTCCTGAATTGCAAGAGGGCACAGGCCAGCTGGGGGACCCCACCAGCACAAATCTGTGCACTAGGCCTCTAGTTTATTCGAAAGAAAGTAGTTATTTTTAAAAAGGAAACATTCTCTCCATAAAGTATCATAAAATCTTGACTCTACAACAGTGTTGCTTTTTTACAAATCAAAAAAGTGTCAGTGTCTTCAATCACCTCAGCTTTGCCTGCTTGTCCAATCCCACCACTTTCCGCACCACCTGCTGGCAGAAGCCGTAGCACATGAAGAGGACAGAGTTCTCGGCGATGTTGGCGATGAGCGCTGGGCTGGTCCCCTTGTAGAAACCCCGGAAGCCCACCTGTGAGTAGGTCTTTAGGCAGCAGTCAGTGAGGCCCTTGTACAGGTCAGGGAACGTCTGCATCTTCACCTTCATTGTGTCGAAGGGCTGCCCGGTCAGCACACATGCTGTGCCCCCTGCAACAGGACAGAAGTCTTCGGTAGCACATGTCTACAGCTACATTATATAGAGTGTAGACTCGATCACCCATGGAAATGAGGGACAGGCAGCCTACCCCAGCACTCCTGCTCCCCCAAACCTTCTCATCCAGTCCAATAACAACATGTGTGCAGGCCCCAGCTCCAGCCCTGAAAGAGCTCACATGGTAGAGACACTGATGTGTATTCAACAGTCCAAAGCCACTGATACAAAGTTGTGGCATGTTAGCAGCACTGGCAATGGGGTCAGAGGGATCTGGACTTGAAGCCTGGCTCTGCTGTGAGATCCTGGACAAGTGAGACAGGTGATGTAACTTCCCAGCCTCAATTCCTAGTAGGGTTAGGATAAGGATCAAATATAATAATGGATGAGAAGGCTTAACATAATGGTGGCTACATAGCAAGCGGTTAATAAATAGCACCCTTACCAGTTTGGCTCAATTGGTTGGAGTGTTGTTCTATGCACCAAAGGGTTGTGGGTTCAATTCCCAGTCAGGATGCATGCGGGAGGCAAACAATTGATGTTTCTCTTTCCCCTTCTCTCTCTAAAATCAATTAAAAAATATATATCCTCAGGAGAGAATTTTTTTTTTTTAAAGCAGTTGCTGTGTGTGAGTGTGAGTGTGTGTGTGTGTGTGTGTGTGTGTGTGTGTGTGTGTGTGTGTATGTGCTTGTAGCCATAAAAAAGGAAGGGGAGGGAAGTCTGGAAAGAGTTAATCACTTTTCTTTGCCTAATGCCTGGTGCTGGTGACTCCCAGAGAAATAACAGAGGAATAGGCCACAGATAAAAAGAGTGGCTAATTAATCCCTGAAGAGTTAAGTAACTGAGCCTACAAGAAAGTCTCTATTTGGACTCTGCCAATACATGATTTGTATTCAGATAGGGAATGAACTAAAATGTACCTTTGCTAAATCATGTATTTATTTGCTTTTATACAGTAAGATTATTAAATACAGAAAATCCAAAGATCACTTCAAGAAAAATTCTGAACATAAGGAAAAGAAAGACCTAAAATGACCCTATTATATCCCCAAATCTTGTATGGGATCTGTATTTTGGGAACTGCCACAGGCTAATGTTTTACTTTCCCTTGGGCCTGCAAGGCCACCATATCTCAGATATCTCCTGCTTGTGTTGGAAAGCATAACCACTGATAAGGTTATTAAACCCTAATCAAAACTGAAGAGCAGGATTGCATAAATTATTTAAGTAACAAACTCAGAGACACAATGGTATGAAGGTTTATCAGAGGGTAATGGGGTGGGGAGAGGATGAAGAGGATAAAGATCAAATATACGGTGATGGAGGGAGACTAAACTATAGGATGGTGGTGAGCACACAATGCAATATACAGATGATGTCTTACAGAATCGTACACCGGGAACCTATATAATGTTATTAATCAAAGTCACCCCAATACATTTTTTTTTTGTTTAAGAAATGCAATTTCTTAACTTTAACATGTTAATAATTTTAACATTATGCATAGTTATTCCAACTCAGTTGTAGAAAATAGAGATCAGGGAGGGGCTGCTAAGAATAATTCCCAATTAATTACTGGAAAATAAACAGGCATTTCCAAAGAATGTGAAAACTGTTTGATCTCTTCTCTCAAGCAATCACAAATATGATTATTTCTGATCCTATCACCACTGATTGCTTCTTTTAGGAGAGTACTAATACATTTCTGTCTGGTCTTATCTAATTATCCCTAATTCTGAATACAATTTAATAAAACATCACTATTATTAGAATTATCCTCTCCTAAGTACTAATGGGCCATAATAAAATAAGATCCTAATTATCTCACAATAATTTAATTATTCCAAAAGAAGAGGTGAATGTTAGAATTTTTAAACGTCGTACATAATTTAGATGACTCTGATGCAAATAAACTGAATAAAGCATTTAATTCAGGGCATTAATATTTTAACTGGAAGTTTTCCATAGTCTTAACAATTATCCTAAATGGTCCAGACATCACAGGTTATTATACTAGTAATATGTATTTGTTGCAGATCTGTAACAGTTACATTTCTAAACAAGAAGAAGGTAGGAGGCTAATGAATTTTCAAACGCTAGCTATAATTCTCTCCTTTCAGCCATGAAGGTAAGCTAATTCCAATATAATTTACCACACACAAATGATACTGTTGGGCACTCATCGTGCCCATCAGAGGGAAAGACGTGTTCAGAATACAGCTAGAATAGCAGCTGCACCCTGGCCAGTGTGGGAACTGCATGTGGGACCCCACCAGTGCACAAATTCGTGCACTGGGCCTCTAGTATGCATATTAAGAGCTTTGGTTAATTTCTTCCCATGTGCAGTTCCCACACCAGCCAGGGTGCAACTGCTATTCTAGCTGTATTCTGAACACCCGCACCAACCAATGGGGCCAGCAGGTCCCCTCAATAACTACCAAGTCAATGAAGCTAAGAATAATTTACAGGAATTAAATATTTCTCCACATGCTTACACCACAGACCTCTGAGCATCTCATTCTCCTTGAACATATGGAAACAGTCTCTGCATTTTCTCATAGGCATCATAGTGGGCCCTGCATTTTATTCTGCAGGAGACACTCAACACATCATGTACTCTATGCTTTTCCAAGGTTGCTGTTATGGATTTTCAGTCCTGATGCAGTTTAGTCAGGTGCTAAGGAAGTCTATCAGGCATGGACAGTGTCTTGGTGAAGGACAGCTCACAGGGAGAGCAGAGGTGAGAAGCAGACCTTGAACCAGAATTACTCGGTGCACCCACAAAGAGGTGAGAACCTCAACCTCCTCTGGAGGCAGTCAGTAAATGTTCAGTTTAGCAGCACAGAGATGTATCATTGTCAAAGAATTCCCATTTAAAAACATTGGCATTTGAGAGGATATACTTCAATGATCTAAAGCCGTGGTTGGCAAACTGCGGCTCACGAGTCACATGCAGTCCTTTGGCCCCTTGAGTGTGGCTCTTCCACAAAAAAACATGGCCTGAGCGAGTCAATTTTGAAGAAGTGGGATTAGAAGAAGTTTAAGTTTAAAAAGTTTGGCTCTCCAAAAAAATTTCAATCATACTGTTGATATTTGGCTCTGTTGACTAATGAGTTTGCTGACCACTGATCTAAAGTTGCATATCTCTCAACTTTGCTGGTTAAACAAGCATACTGCAACAGAGCAGCAGAGTAGGGGTGCATCATTTTATAGTTCTTAAACTACTCAAGTGCTGCCATGGTTTCCCCTTAGTGAGATTACACTTTTGAGATCCAGTTACCCATCTTCTTCAACTCCTTCTGCATTCTAGCTGCCGGGGCTCTCGATCCTCTCCTAGACTCTTACAGTAGCTGCAGACAGACAGCTGCTAAAAATCTGCTCGGTGGGAGGTTTGCTTAAAAGAAACAGGAGAGCCGAAGCCGGTTTGGCTCAGTGGTAGAGTGTCGGTCTGCGGACTGAAAGGTCCCAGGTTCGATTCCGGTCAAGGGGCATGTACGATGGCTGCGGGCACATCCCCAGTAGGGGGTGTGCAAGAGGCAGCTGGTCGATGTTTCTCTCTCATCGACGTTTCTAGCTCTCTCTCTCTCTCTCCCTTACTCTCTGTAAAATATCAATAAAATATATTTAAAAAGAAAAAAAAAAAAGAAAAGAAACAGGAGAGCTGCAGAACCTGTGTGTGTTACACCATCACCTTGGCTTGTTCTTACATGCTAATCACTTCCATGGGTGGGCGTGTTCACAGAACACTCGGGCCCCTCTGGTCCTGGCCAGCAGAAAAATCCCAAACCCAACAGTTTCCCCCTGCAGAGAGCTGGAACAGTGAAGGCTCCACACTAGCCCCACGTCCAGGAGTGCTGTTGGCCTGCTACGAACTATTAATGCAAAGAGGACAACAGAACTAGACAAGGAGCCAAGCAGGCACGGTCCTAGCCTTGTCTGTGTACCATCAAGCTGTGCAAGCTTGAGCAAATCCATTTGGGCCCCTTTTCTATGTTTAGAATGAGCATTAGCGCCAGTGGCCTCTACTGGCCCTTCTAGCACCTTCACTGGAGAGTAAGACCCGCCAATGTGGAATGGCTGCTTCCCCTTTGCATTCCACAGGGAGAGTTCTCAGGTCACTGCCAGGAGCCTCCTCTGCTCAGTACTCACAAGTCCCTCACCAGGTTGAAAACAGGCCCCTGAAGAGAAGCCTGTTGTTCCTGGAAGTTAAATGACCCTGAACACGGAGAGTGAGTGTTTCTTCCTGCCCTGGACACTGTTAACAGGTGTAGGAGGCCCTACATGTTCATTCACCAGCGAATGCTTTATACACCAGACTCCCAACAATACGGTTGTAATTTATAGCTTTAAAATCCACTGTAAGTTATAAATGCGGCATACAAATGCTTTTCCTGGAAAAGGAAAGCTCCTCAACTCTATCACAACAGATCTGACATCTTTGAGAGAGTGGCTGAAGGACATTAAATTCCAAAAGCTGAAAATCTCTCATGTGGTTAAATATCAGCCTATTGCAGAGACCACATGATTCCATGTTTCCGCATCAGTGTCCAAATGTGGCGGACAGGCGGGCGGGCAGGGCACGAGGTCTGAGGGGCTGCCCTGGACTGCACGGCAGGATGAGGAGCTGACCCAGAGTCACAGAAGGCAAAAGGTTCCCCGGCTCCTGGGTTGGGACACTCCCTATGGTCGCCAGCCTGGGAGCCAGGCCCTTGCCCTGCACTTCTTATCAGTGTCTGCAGTGGGCTGTTTCCAGCCTTCCTCATTAGCTTACCTTGGCCGACCTTTGGTTCATGGGAAAACACTTGGTTGTTCTCTGAAATGCAATTCCTTTTTTACAATGAAGTGAATGGCATGATGAGAGTAGGTGACCATGTGAATGCACTTGATATGTTGAGCCACAAAGCCCCATTGGATAAGAGGACAATGTCAACCCACCTCTCTAGCCTCTCCATTCTTCGGTGCTGCAACCCATTATAAGTTTTGGTGTAAGAGGCAGAGATAAACCAAGGTTTTCATCTGGGAAGTCTGAGCACTAGAGTGCTCCCCAGTCCTAACATAACACAGGAATCTGGGGAACAAGTTACCAGCCATCCACTTCCCATTCTGTCCTTTGCATCAGACTGAGCAAAGGTGACCTGTGTAAAGAACAGCCTGTGTGTTAGGAGCTGTGCCAGGGAGTACTTACTTGTACCCCATTGGGCCACAGTCTGCCCTGGGGCACGGGCCCAGGCCCAGCCCACCATTCCTCAGCAAATCCTAGGGCCTCACCTTACCTTTCAGGGCTCTAAGATACAGCGAATGCCAGTCTCATTTACCAAAGGTGTTTCTAAAGGGTGTCCTCCTTTCCTTCCCTGGCCGTAGTAAGGACAGTAACTGGGATTCCCTGGAGACATGGCGTGGTGTTATTTTTACACCGAAAGGGCTCTGAAAACTGCCGGGCTTGGAGTGAATCCCACGTAACCTGCACATCCAGCCATGGGACAAAGAACAGGGACTTCAGCTCTGAGGTGCAATGTTTTCCAGCTGTAAACTGGACACCTTCCCACCCTGCACCTTGGCTCATACTTTGTTAATCCTCACCCAATGATATTTTCCCATTGGTTTTTAGAGAGAGTGGGAGGGAGAGAAGGTAAAGAAGGGGAGAGAGAAAAACATCAATGTAGTAAGAGAGATACATCAACTGGCTATCACTGGCACACACCTCAACTGGGGCTGGAACTTGCTACCCAGATATGTACCCATGACTGGGAATTGAACCAGTGATCCTTTGGTGCATGGTCCAGTGCTCTAACCACTGACCTACAATAGTCAGGGCCTGACTCATACAGTTTTAATATAATGGGAACTAGTCTACCTCTGCTATGCTCAAAATTCAATATTAAACTTCCAGTAAATGGATTCAATTTGAGTTAAGCCATGTTGATTTTGGGGTGACAAAGGTAATATTTTCACTGTGCTTTCCCTGGATCTCACTACAGAAGCATTTGAGGAGGAGAGGATGGAGTTCTCTCTGGATTACCTGCAGCCCCTGCTGTGAGGTCGATGGCAGCTTGGATGGCAGGATTGGACTTCATGTTTGCCCACTCCTCTGCTGGGCTCCGTAGAAGGCAGCTCTCTGAGGCTCACAATGGGCGCCTCATATCCCTGGGAGGAGACAAGAGTTCACCATCAGTCAGGCCTCCCTTTCTCCAAACCTGCTGCCTGGTTAGTGGGCCTGAACTTCTGGGAGCTGGGAAATCCGCTGCAAAGGAAGTGGGCTCAAGATGTCAGCACTGCTTAGTGACTGGCCTCCCTTTTTACTTTCCCACCACCTCCTCACAAAAAGCTCACAGCTCAAAAACCTTCCTTGGGTATCAATGTTAGAGCCACTGGTGAGGGGCACTTCAATCCCACCGTTCTGAAACCTTTAAGAACCAATGCCAGATAAGTTAGCCACTGGCGTCCTAAGCCACATCAAATTAGTTTTGTAGAGACTTAAGTTGGACCATCACTCCACTAGGCTCAGTTCTAAATTCAGACAGCAGCCTGTGCAGGGTCCCTCAGAGGTCACAAAACAGCTGGGCTGGCAAACAACAACAAACAAACAGGTTAGGAGCTGTGCCAGTGAGACATCCCAGTCTGGATGCCTGCCTGCTCTGCCACCAGCAGGATGGCTCCTTGTACCCCTAAAGCTGCATGGTTTTCAAAGTATATGTGACTTCTCTAGCAAAAAGGAGCAGTTTTTATCCCCATTACACTGAAGACCTGTGTGATCCCAGTCAGGGGAGTGGGAGGGGTTGGATCAGTGATGAACACCATCTACTAAAGGTCAGAAGAAAATAATCTTAACCACTTGAAGAAGATTGCCAATAACCACAGACCAAAAATCTAACTTTTTTTACAAAAAAAGTTTAAAACCAGCAACAACGAAATCACAGTACTTAAAGCACATGACAACAATGTAACATTACTGACAGGCCTGGAGAGACAGTACCAATGACTGATAAGGTGATGGCCTTCCAGTTTCTGGAGAAGGATGTCAAGACCATAATCTAATCTCCCCCTTTTCCTCGTGGAAAACTGAGGCCAGAGGAAGATGAACTGTGAATGTGCATCAAGGAGTCACACATATAGGGGCTGGGCGGAGGAGGTTCAACCTAAGTCTCTACAAGGCGGGGGGGGGGGGGGGGGGGGGGGGGGGGGGGGGGGGGACGGGGACACTGCATTGGAAAGATCTATAATACTATCAACATTTAAAAAAAAATTTTTTTTTTAAGGAGTCACACAAACAGGGCAGATCCAATGTGGCCTCTCAGTGTCTTCATTCCTTTTGGAATGGACATTTCTTTTCAGAAGGAAAGAAAGGCACACCGGATTAGATGCCATCACTGTGGAACCAGCCCCTTTACTAGTAGATAAGCCGAACTTATTAAACACGTCGAAATCAACAAATAACTGCTTGAAGAATTATTAGGCTAGTAAACAGTAATGGGGTTATTAAGACACAAAGTGTGAGCAATGGTTCAAATTATGAGTAGCTTTGGCTTGAAGGAAACATAGGGCTTGCAAGACGGATCAGTGTGAGTTAAACTGATTGATAAGCCTTCGGCACCACCTGAAATATCAATATAAAAACTGAACCTTTTCAGCGTCCCTTTTGCCCTTTAAAACGACACCAGGTGGGACTTCGGGACAGACAACAGCGCTGGTCATACATCTTAGCTGCCCTGGGGAAACTGGTCTCTCTAAGGGAGAGCCTAAGGCCGCCTTCCTCGCCAAGCTCCCGGGGCAGCAGCCCTGAGGCAGGCGGGCGGCCCGGGTGCGGGCTGGGCAGCACCGCGCGGGGTGCACACCCACCAGCCCCACCGCCGCGCGGCCCGCGAGCCACTCCTCCCCGGGCCTGGGGTCCTCCACGCCTGAGGGCCCCCCAAGGAGCCCAGTTACAACTCCCGGCTCCGACTCGGCCCGGCCACCTGCGGGAGTCTCTGTTCAGGAGCGCCCGGTCCCCCGCGCCCCGCACCGCAGGCGCCCGCACGGACCGCGGAGCCTCCGGCGGGGAGCGCGCAGCGGAGGCCGCGCCCCGAGTCGCCGCCCAGCCCGGGCGGCACGGGCCGGGGCCACACGCGGGTCCGGGCACGCGTGCCCGCCTGGCCACCTCGCCCGCTGCCGGGAAGGTCGCGCCGCCCGGGCGCCGAGGCCCGCCCGCCCCGCCCCCGCCGGCTCCCCGCAGCCGGAGCGCCAGGCCGGGGCGCGCTCACCGCCGCGCCGACGGGCCGCTGCTGCTCGGGCTCCGGCGCCAGCAGTGCCGCGGTCCGCGGCGGGGCGGCCGCTTCACCCCACGTGGGCCGCGGCCGCCCTGCGCCCCGCCCCGCCCCGCCCGGGCCCCCCGCGGGCGGCCCCGCCGCCCGGCCCCGCGGGAAGCGGAAGTGGGCGGGGCGCGGCGGGCCTCCGCACCGGCCGGGGAGGCGGGGACCGGGGCGCGCGCACCGGCGGCCAACCCAGGCTTCCCTTCCCCGGGTCCCAGGGGTTCCCCCGCAAGGCTCAGCGGGAAGGCTGCTGGTTAACTTTGCTGGGACCGGGCTCATGGCCTTAATTATAAATTATAATTGAGTGCGAAAGTAATGGAAAAGAAAAGATGAAATATACATTTGTTAGTGCCGGGGAGAAAAATCAAAAACCATTTCCATTCTGCCTTCCCCAAGGAAATCCATTCCCACTGATGAAGACTGAAGCTCTTAGGCTATTTCTGTAGCTCTGCCAATTGGTTAAAAAGCATTACTCAGGCATGTGCTGTGTAAAGGGATTTTTCTTTAGGGCCCTAAGACACAGCTAAGACCTACTCAACATGTGTGACACTCAGGGCCTTGAGTGCTTTGGTTCAGGCTTCATTTCTACATAGCATGTTCTTCCTTAAAACATGATATCATTTTCTTTTACAATTTTCTGCCCTGTTTGTGTGTGGTGTTGGACTATCACCAATGTAGTTGTGGTCCTCAGTTAGACAGACATGAGCAGAGCAAGGGCGATGGGCCAGGTACAGAAGGTCACCAGAACAGAAAGCCCTGGGTCCCTAACACTGGACAACTGTAGGGTGGGACCTTGCTCTAGGGTGACCTTTCCTCCCCAAGCATATCCCTCCTGGGTATGTGGTTTGGACACCTGGCCTTTCTCCCTTGAGGCCTTTCTCCCTTTAAGTTCCAGGCCCAGAAAAAAAGACAAGTGACCCCATAGCTGAAAGCTACAATTCTATTGAAACCTTCCCCCTGGAACCTCCCCTAAAATCTCCACCTCCCAGGACCATGCCTGTGCCTTCCCCCTTCTCCTTCCCCCATGCCCTAGGTGCTTTACCATTCATTCCTCTCTCCCAAGTTCCAAGAGCTCATCCTTTCCCTCTACAACTTATTTCCTAAGCCCATTTCTTAAGCCTATTTCTTCTACAAGTAACTTCTTCTGCCTCTGTGATTTTACAAATAAATCTTCTCTTATAGCTGAATAAGAATTCTTTCAACTCTGAATTCTTTCCTAGCCAGAACTCAAGTACCGAGGTTGCTGAACCCAGGTCCGGTTTGACCCCACCAGTCTAACACCTGGTGCTGTTTTCTCGCCTATAACATAATTAAGTGCTTTTTTTGGTGCCAGCCAGTGACTTAAATATTTGATACGCTTCACAACTTAATAAACCTCCCCAAGGGAGGAAGAGCTATGAAGGACTCAGAACTCTTTTTTTTTTTTTTTTAATTAAATATATTTTATTGATTTTTTACAGAGAGGAAGGAAGAGAGATAGAGAGCTAGAAACGTCGATGAGAGAGAAACATCGACCAGCTGCCTCTTGCGCACCCCCTACCGGGAATATGCGCGCAACCAATGTACATTCCCTTTACCGGAATCGAACCCGGGACTTTTCAGTCCGCAGACCTACGCTCTACCACTGAGCCAAACCGGTTTCAGCTCAGAACTCTTGATAAGTGGAGACTCACATCAACATAGCATAAAAGTGTCTTCATAGAATCAGTTCACTTTCGAGAACTCAAGCTACTGAAATAAAATTTAATTACAGAAACAAGCCAGGGAGTTCCAATGAACTGCCCAAAGTAACATAACACAACTAGTAGGAAGCAGATCCAGGAGCATAACTCCCATTACAACATCCTAGAACAGTGGCTGCCAACCTTTCCGACCTCACGGACCACCAGCAGTCCATGGACCACCAGCTGGCAACCGCTGTCCTAGAGGGCTGATAGATTTTCATTATCAACTGGCCTAGTGGCTTTTGCAAACTAGAAACATGAGGCCCAAAGGAAAGTTTTTGAAGGATAGACTCAGATCTCCTGTTATAGATTAGAAGGAGCTCTGTACTTGGAGCCAGGTTGTTTTAAAAAATCTGCGTGACCTTTAGTGAGTCATTTAACTTTTGAAAACCCTAGTTATCATGTGACTGCATCTCTAATTCACCATGTGCTGCCTCTGCTGCCGATCGCTGCTGGCACCCTTACTGAGCCCTCATCCATTAGCCCATACTTTGCTTGTCTCCCTTTAGCCCTTTCCTCTTCAATCGTCAAAAGGGAACTATCATCACTTCCCCCAAATCTACATTTCTTCTCTTCCTCACCTTTCTTTAACAACCATCAGCCCCAATTCACTCTGTAAACTAAGAAGCAAGCAGGAAACTTTCCTGCAAACTTTTAACCCCTAGTCTAGAGGCGTTGCTTTTTCGGCACAAACTCTCATCCTCTGCTTGCTGTTTTGCTTGCTGGCCCATGAATGATGCTGGTGAGAAACAGGCTTAGAGGAGTCAAGTCACTTGCTGAGTGTTGTACACGTACTCAGGGAAGAGTTGAGACTCATCAAAGTTCTTTCCAATTCTATTTCTTGTTCAATTCTAGTTGTTCAGCCAAGTTCACATACTTAACTACACTACACTATACAGTAATACCTTCCAGAAAGCTTCCTCTTAAAGCAACAAGGTTGCAGAAACTAGTTCTTTCTGTTGGAATAGGTTTTCCTCCAAAATACTTTAAAGTTCTTCACAGCAGTGGCTCTTTCTGCTATCTGTGTTTTAGGAATAAGGAAACATGCAAAACTCAAAAAGCTAT